AATCTTACTAATAAAATAATATATATTGAGATAATAATATGTCACTTTTACCTACAAAATTTATAAGGGCTAATCAGGTGCGGTGGCACACACCTATAATCCCAGTGTTTCAGGAGGCAGAGGCAGAAGGATTATGTGTTCAAGATCAGCCTTGGCAGACTAACACACAAAGTTACAATTATCTTATATTAAACAAAGGTACCAAAAACATGCACTGGAGAAAAAATAGCCTCTTCAACAGATGGTGCTGGGAAAACTGGAAATCCATATGCAACAAAAAGAAATTAAACCCTTATTTCTCACCACTCACAAAACTCAACTCAAAATGGATCAAGGACTTAGGAATAAAACCAGAGACCCTGCATCTAATAGAAGAAAAAGTAGGCCCTAATTTCCATTATGTGGGATTGGGCCCCAACTTCCTTCATAAGACTCCTGTGGTGCAAGAATTAAAATAAAAAATCAATAAATGGGATGGAATCAAACTAAAAAGTTTCTTCTCAGCAAAAGAAATAATCTGTGAGGTGAATAGAGAGCCTACATCTTGGGAGCAAATCTTTACCCCTCACACATCACATAGAGCACTAATCTCTAGGGTATATAAAGAACTCAAAAAGCTAAGCACCAAGAAAAAACAAATAACCCAATCAATAAATGGGCCAAGGATCTGAACAGTCACTTCTCAGAAGATGATATACAATCGATCAACAAATATATGAAAAAATGTTCATTATCACTAGCAATTAGAGACAAATCAAAACCACTCTAAGATTTCATCTCACTCCAGTCAGAATGGCAGCTAGTATGCATACAAACAACAATAAGTGTTGGCAAGGATGTGGGAGAAAAGGTACATACATTGCTGGTGGGACTGCAAATTGGTGCAGCCAATATAGAAAGCAGTTTGGAGATTTCTTGGAAAATTGGGACTGGAGCCACCATTTGACCCAGCTATCCCTCTCTCCTGGGTCTATACCCAGAGGACTTAAAACAGCTTACTATAGGGACACAACCACATCAGTGTTTATAGCAGCACAATTCACAATAGCTAAACTGTGGAACCAACCTAGATACCCTTCAGTAGATGAATGTATTAAAAGAAATGTGGCATATCCACAATTGATTATTACTCAGGAATAAAAGAGAAAAAAATCATGGGATTGCAGGTAAATGGATGGAGTTAGAGAAGATAATGCTAAGTGAAGTTAGCCAATCCCAAAAAACCAAATGCTGAATGTTTTCTTTCATATAAGGAGGCTGATTCATAGTGGGATAGGGAGAGGGAGCATGGGAGGCAGGGATGAACTCTAGATAGGGCAGAGTTGTTGGAGGGGAAGAGGGGGACATGGAGTTATAAATGATAGTGGAATGTGATGATCATTATTATCCAAAGTACATATATGAAGACACGAATTGATGTGAATATACTTTGTATACAACCAGAGATATGAAAAATTGTGCTCTATGTGTATAGTAAGAATTGTAACGCATCCTGCTGTCATATATAAATAAAAATTTAAAAATTAAAAAAATAAAAAGAACTATTTAAAAATGAATAAAAATAAGATCAGCCTCAGCAATTTAGCAAGGCCGTAAACAACTCAGCAAGACCCTGTCTCTAAATAAAACATAAAAAAAGGCTGGAGATGTGGCTCAGTGGTTAAGTGCCTCTGGGTTCAATCCTGGTAACCCCCACAAAATTATAAAGATTAAAAAATAAATATTTAGAAAATAGGCATTCAACTATTCAAATATTGCTGGGGTTAATTTAAATTGATGTATCTATTCTGGTGGCCACTGTGGCAATATGTTTCAAAAACTTTAAAATATATATACATTTTGACTGCACATTCTTCTTCTAAAAACTCATTCTATTAAAATAACCATGGATATGAATATAAGTAGGCTATGAACACTTTATATGATTTTCAGTAATGAAAAACTAAAAATTACCTAAGTAACAGTTGTATGTTAGCTAAAGTATGATTCATAAATCATTTTTATTATATAATGATCAAAATACTACTACATAAAAATTAAGGCAATATCAAAATAAAAATATGTTTCTATTTAAAGGAAAGTTCTGCAGATATTAAAATACAATCATCTGTATTATATACTACTAACTTTGGAAAGTTGTATGTAGAAAAGTTATTAAATGGCATGCTACCATTTCAGTAAAATACATATACATATTTGTCTCATTAAACCTGTATCATCTCTGGGAGAATACATAAAGAATTGCCTATGGGGGGAAAAACTAAGTATTTGGGGACAGACTACAAATGTACCTTTAAATTTTCAATCATGTGAATATATTTATTTTTAAAAGTAAAATAATATCATGAAATAATAAAAGACATGTGAAGGAGTTCTACTTTGAACATCACTATGTAAGCTCCTATCAGATCAACCCTCCCTAATATAAACTTGGAATTAAAATGCAGTGAACAATTAACCTGAAGGCTCTTTACAACTAACGAAGGCAAGAAAATTTGGAGGTGATGTGGATGAGAGGATGATGCATAGGGTGGGTTTCCCAATTTTTTTATGACTGCAACTTATAGGACGTCCACAGTTAGTGCTGTGCTGGCAGCAGTAGACAACCTTGGTATTTCTGACCTCAAGAACCAGAGGTCAACCACAAGCACTGGAAAGTGAAGGGCAAATCCCATAATGCAGAGAGTCAAGCAGAAGAAATTCTAAATTCTCTGTTCAAAACAATAACAAACAAACAACAACAACAAAAAAAAACATGTGCCCTAATAGCCCAAATATTTATCTGATCCCTAAATAATCATGTGGGGCAGAATGCAAGAAATGGACTGAAATTTGAGCCAATGATAGTTTGCAGATTGAGTATAATCAATTAAGATGAAGTATCTGCTAAAACAAGTTATCCATTTCTTATTAGGTAAATGTGGTGTTCTGTGGATTTTAAGGAATTGGTTCATTTCCTCTGAGTTAATGAATTTAGGAGCATAGATTTATTTGTAGTATTCCTTTGTTAGTTTCCTAAAGTCTGTGGAGCCTATAATGAACTCTTATTTCTGACACTAGTCATTTATATCTTCTTCCTCCCCAGAATTAGACTTAAACCAGCCCCAAAGGAAAGACTACTATAGAGCTACCCTAATAAGGCTTAAAAATAGGCCTAAAGGAATGAAATTACTAAAATTCCAACAGGTTTCAAAGAATACAAAATTGCAGCATTCATCAAATAAAATCATAATGCCCACCATCCAATAAAATTACTAGATCCTTGAAAATGCAACTCCCCCTCCTGCAAAAAAGATGAAAATTTGGTCACCGGAAGACAGACTCAAAAATTATGGAGATGTTATTGTTAGCAGACAAGAATGCTAAAATTTCTATTACATTGCTATATGACGAATATGCTCAAGGATTTAAAGAAAAACACAAAGGTAATGAGTAGACAAATGAAAGATAAAGAACCAAATGAAATTTGTAGAGATGAAATACAATATTGAAAATGAAAACATCACTAGATGAGATTTAACAGCAGATCAGATAATACACAGGAAAAGTCAGAATACTTGAGGACATTATAGGAGAAGCTATTATAGTATAGATAGAAACTTCATCCTTTCATCAGAATCCCATGTAATTTAAATGTTTTCAGTGTAGTTACATGTAGATTTATTATAGTACATTTTCCATTAGATAGGTAATTTGAGTAAAATCTGAATATGTATTGTATCAAATATTCACATAGTAGAGTTAGAAATACACATATTCTGAGGTCTTGTACAGTTTACTAATTCCAAACCAACATTTGTTTCTCAGTCCCACACAGATAGCCCACAAAATAAATGTGGTTGAGAGTTCATTCTCTCATAAGAGACTGTATTGACTTATAGCCTGAGAAAGCAGGAAGCTCAACTCTAGGCTAGGAATCTAGGCAAGAAGTACAGAAGCATTTTTAGATTTGTACCTTGGGAAAGAGCCTGACTCCTATTTTCCAAACAGTCTTTGACCTAGCCATCTATGCTTTCATGGATGTTAAAACTCTAGCCTGTAAGGCTTAGCTCCAATGCAGAATCCCCCTGCCCTTTGACCCAGAGATGAGGAGGACTGTCTGGGGGTGGAAATATTCCAAATCTTTCTCATATTATAGGTTTTCTCTTCATTTTTAGAACCTGGTGATTTCCTATTCTTGTATTCGAACTTAGTTATATATGCTTTTAATGACTAACTATTTTATTCAATATTTCTGAAGTTTTGAAGTGGGAAGGAGGGAATTCTTGTATCTGCTCAGTTTGTCTTCTCAACCAGAACTTCTAGATATAATTTACAGTAATAAAATAACCAATAAGAGTACTATCAAGGGGCTGGAGCTGTAGCTCAGTGGTAAGCGCTTGCCTTGTATATGTGAGGCACTAGGTTTGATCCTCAGCACCATGTAAAAATAAATAAACATACTGTATGTTTATCTACAACTAAATAAATATTTTTTAAAAAGAGTACTATCAAAAGATAAATACAAGAAGTAGCAGCAAGAGTCAAAGAAGCATGTTTCCATGTTTCAAAAAACTCTGAGAGCTGGGTAGGGTGGTGCATGCATGAAATGCCAGCAGCTCAGGAGGCTGAGGCAGGAGGATCACAAATTCAAAGCCAGGCTCATCAACTTAGCAAAGAACTAAGAATGTGGCTCAGTGGTTAAGTACCCCTGAGTTCAACCCTGGTACCAAAAAAAAAAAAAAAATCTGAGAAGTAACCACAATTTTGTTTGAAGAATATTAACAGAATTTTTTTAAAGTTTCTAAGAAATGAAAATCTGAACTTTCACATAGAATCATTACCTTCCCACAATTATAAATTTTACACATCTCAAAAAATAGCTTACATCATCATACTTTTTCAGTTTTAATGACTATATTTTTATTAAATATAATTCCTCAAAACAGATTTATCACTCCTACATTATATCCACAAAAATGTAATTTGTTATTTTGACATTATTAAAATGCTAAAATTACCTTTGTGTTTATTCAGAAGCTTGTAGCCCTCACAGTATCTGCCTGATGAAGTCATCATCTTGGCTGTGTCAAGATAAGAATATGTTGCAGCAAAATCAAATTCCTTTTTACCATCCCACCATCCTTTCTGCTTAGCATAGTTTCTCATGTCTGGGTGTTCTTGGTCAATCTTGGTTGTTATAGAAAGCTGATTAGAAATATTACGAACTCCTTCTATTTTCAAAGAAAAGGGAAATGAAAATGAAAAGTTATGTTTAACATTAATGTTCCATCTATACATTATAAATTCTTAATCACTATTTAAATGTAAACATAGACTTCTAAATTTTGTACTATTTGCATCTATTGCATATTCTAAGAGACAATTTTTAGAATTAAACTTTTTATGTTCAGATAATTGTAGATGCATATGCAGTTATAAGAAATAATCCAGGGAGAAACTGTGTTCCCTTTACTCCATATCCCCCAACAAAAACATTTTGAAAAACCAGAGTATAAAGTCACAATCATAATACTGGTAATGATACAGTCAAGAAAAAGAATGCTTGTACTACCACAAGAATCCTTTATGTTGCCCCCTCTTAGAGCCATACCCACTTGTCTCCCACCCCTAGCATACATGAACTCCAGGCAACCACTACTTTGTTCTCTTATTTCTCTAAATATTAATTCTAAAAATCCTAGCTTTGTTTTTTTTACTCAACATAATTCTCTAAAGATTCATCCAGCTTACTGTAGGTATCAACAGTTTGTTCCTTTTTATTGCTGAGTAATACTCAAGGATGTGGATTTACTATAGTTTCTAACACTATTTTTTTAAATCATAAATACATTTAAAACAGAAAAAATAAGGCTTGCAAAGATATTGTGGCACAAGTCACAAATAAAATTTTCCACTAAAATACAAAAGAGAAAAAACAATAAAAGTCTGTTCACAATAAATTATATAGCTGATGATAAATGAAAATTGACCCAACCACTCAGGAGAATCACAAGTTTGAGGACAGCCTAGACAACTTAGGAAGACCCTGTCTCAAAATTTTTTAAAAAGGGCTGAGAATGTAGCCCAGAGGTAAAGTGTCCCTGGGTTTAATCCCTGTACCACAAAAATAAATGTTAATTAATTAAAATTGATAATGTTTTGAAACTGATTTAAAAGACAGCTGTAAAGTAAAAATCAACTAAGTAATTATTCTACTGAAGTAATACTTGGGATATTCTCACTATAAAATCAAGACTTAAGTCAAAATAGAATCAAGGATAGTGATGAAGTTTCCATCTAAGAGATGATTCCCTATAATCCAACAATTCAGTTCTTTTAAATCAACATATATTTTAATTGACACATAATAATTGTACATATTTATGTGGTATAGTGTAGCATTTTACATGTATAATAATGTCTAATAACCAGACCAAGGCAAATGGGTGTATATTACATCAGACATATATCATTTCTTTGTGTTAGGAACATTCAAAGACAACAATTTAGTTCTTGGGCTCATTTAGAAATAGAAAAACTGGTGACAAAACGTACAACTGGATAATGAGACCCAGTGAAGGTGCTTATTTTGCATGACCTAATGAGACTTTTTCACAGAATGTTGAACTATGTTGAATAGAATTCATTTGTCTTTTCATGTAGCATATTTGATAAAATTAAAAGTGCTTAATGATATAATAGGGTCAATTAACAATCAGAAAATAGTCTACGTTAAACTTTATATATTAAAAAAGATAAAATACATAAAATAAAACATAAAACAATATATATAAAGCAAAATATATAACAAAATGTCCAACAAAACAACTGGCAATGATCTGTTTTGAAAATAATATCCAAATCCTCCAAAGCTCAAGTCTTCCTTTATGAAGCCTTTCTGAACTCCCCCAGCTTACAATGACCTTTCCTTTCTTTAATATTCACAGCATCTATGTGTATCATTCATACAACAATTAACATTTTTACATGTATATATTATCTCCTTAGTAAAACTAGGAGATCCTCCTGGATCTCGAACATAATCACATGATTATGTTTGAACACAGGTTGTGCTCTAGTGAAAGAACACTGAACTGAAATCAGGAAGATCTCAATTCCAAGTTTTGCATATACCAGTCTCTTTCATCTCTGGATTTCCTCACTTGAAAAAAATAAAAGGAATATATGATCAAAACAAAATCATGGGAAAGAAAAAGCAAAGCATTCTAAAGCAAACAAATTGTGTTGTTCTACCCAATGACATAAAATTTTGTTTTACTATTATATCAGCGTACCCTTTCTTTTTTACTGATAACATTAAAATCAAGCATAATAGTGGGATTTATTATTACATATTAGTACATGCACATAATTTAGTCAATTTCATTCACCAGTACCTTCTTTTCCCTCTCCTCTATCCTCCTCCTTGTCCCTTTCTTCTACTCCACTGATCTCCTTTCTATTTTTATGACATCCTTGCCCCTGCCTTTTATTTTCTTTAGCATCCACATACGAAAGAAAATATGACTATTGAGTTTCTGAGTCTGGCTTACTTCATTTAACATAATGTTCTCAAGTTCCATCCATTTTCCTGTAAATTACACAGTTTCATTCATATTTATGTCTGAATAAAACTCCATTGTCCAAAGTTCATGTATGAAGGCACAAATTGGTGTCAACATACTTTATATACAACCAGAGATATGAAAATTGTGCTGTATATATCTAATAAGAATTGTAATGCATTCTGCTGTCATTTATCTTTTAAAAAATCAATTTAAAAAAGCTCCATTGTGTATATATACCACATTTTCTTTATTCACTTATCCATTGATAGACACTTACAGACAGACATTGGTTCTATACCTTGGCTATTGGGAATTGCATTGCTATAAACATGGGTATGTATGTATAGCTATGCTGACTTTAATTCTTTTGAATAAATACTGAGGAATACCATAGCTGTATCATATGATGTTTCCATTCCTAGTCTTTTGAGGAACCTCCATACTGATTTCCATACTGGTTATACAAAGTCATAATCCCTGGGGCTGGGGATGTGGCTCAAGTGGTAGCGCGCTCGCCTGGCATGCGTGCGGCCCGGGTTCGATCCTCAGCACCACATACAGACAAAGATGTTGTGTCCACCAAATACTAAAAAATAAATATTAAAATTCTCTCTCTCTCTCTCTCCCTCTCTCTCACTTTCTTTAAAAAAAAAAGGTCATAATCCCATCAAGATCCCATAAGTATTCTTTTTCTCCTTCATTCTTGCCAGCATTTATTATTATTTGTATTTCTTGATTACTGTCATTCTAATTGGAATAAGATGAACTCTTAGGGTAATTTTGATTTGCATTTCCCTGATTGCTAAAGATGTTGAAATTTTTTTCATATATTTGTTGACCATTTGTATTTCTTCTTTTGAGAAGTGTTTAATTTTTTCCCCATTTATTGACTGGGTTATTTTCTAGATTTTTAAAGTTCTTTATATATTATGGATATTAATCCTCTGTTGAAAAACTAGCTAGCAAAGACTTCTCCCAGTTTGTATACTCTCTTCATGCTCTTTTTTTACTTTGCTGTACAGAAGCTTTTCAATTTGATGCAAACCCATTTATTAATTTTTGGTACTATTTCCTGAATTTTAGGAGTCTTGTTGAGGAAGTTGTTGCTTGTCTGTACCTATATGTTGGAGTGCTGACCCACTTTAAAGTTGCCAAGTTTCTGGTCTGATTCCTAGGTCTTTCATCCATTTTGAGTTGACTTTTGTGCAGGGTGAGAGGGATCTCAACCTCAAATTCAGAGTGAGTTTCATTATTCTACATCTGGATATTCAGTTTTTCCACACATTTGTTTAAAAGGCTATATTTTCTCCAAAGTATATTTTGGGCACCTTTGTAAGGATCAGATGAATGTATCTGTGTGGGTCTGTCTCTGTGTCTTCTATTTTATTCCTTTGCTCTAAGTGTGTTTTTATACCAGTTCTGTTGTGTTTTTCTTACTAGCTTTGTAGTGTAATTTAAAATTGGGTATTGTGATGCCATCAGCATTTTTTTCTTTTCTTTGAGTTGCTTGTGATATTCTGGATTTTATATTCTTCCATATGAATTTTGGGACTGTTTTTTCTAGTTCTGTGAAGAATATTATTGGTATTTTGATGGACATTGCATTGAATCTGTAGATCACTTTTTGTACTACAGCCATTCTGCCTATCCATGAACATGGGAGATCTGTCCATCTTCTAATGTCTTCTTCAATTTCTTTCTTCAGTGTTCTATAATTTTCATTATAAAGGTCTTTTACCTCTTTGATTAGATTTATTCTTTCTTTCTTTCTTTAGGTTATAATGCATGGAATTGTTTTCCTAATTTCTTTTTCAATGGATTGATTATTGGTGTATAGGAAAGTTACTGATTCTTGAATATTGATTTTGTATCTTGATACTTTGTTGAGTTTGTTTATTAGTTCTAGAAGTCAGGGGGAACTTTTTAGATCTTATAAGTATGGGATAATATCATCTGCAAACAGTGATAATTTGACTTTTCCCTTTACTCTTTGTATTCCTTTTATTTTATTTCCTTCTCACATAATTGCTAAAATTTCAGAAAATGTATTGAAATATATATACTCATGAGAGTGGACATTCTTGTTTCACTATATCCTTTCTAACCACCAACCCAAAGACATCCATCTCCAGCTCCATTCCCCTTTTCTCATCTCCATACTTAAGCATGAAAGAATTTTGGTGTTCAGCTCAAAGTTAAAAGAGGATAAGATAGCAAGGGGTTATTAAAAGAAAAAAAGTACTATAAAATAGCCAAAAACTGCTGCACATAAAATATACACACATTATATGAAACTCATATAGCCAGAGATAATGCTACCTTTTAACCTTTTCAAGAATGCACTTCATAGTACATGTTCTTTCCAATTTTTAACTTTTCCCCTACAGGTTAAACTTTATTTTGCTAGAATATAAATCTTCAAAGACAATGAAATGCAATATCTGCAGTTAAGGGTATATTTTATTAATAGTATATTAAATTAAATCACACAAAAAAGTTGTCCATCTAGATTAATTACCACAAGAGCAAGTTATTAAAGCAAAGTCATTCCTTATGTTCTTCGTCTTCTGCATGTGCCCATTTGCCCTACTGCTTTCCCCCACAGGCCGAAGCAGTAAGACCTGCCACAAGAAACTGAGCAGATGTGCCACCATATTCTTGGATTTTCCTCTCTTTCAGAATTGTGAGCCAAAATAGATTTGTTCCCTTATAAATTAAAAAAAAAAAGTTTTCCATACCTTTTACTTTTTCTGCTGCCCAATGCTTCCCTGCAGTCTCCAGAATCCAGGCTTCATTCCTATCAGCTATCAGGAAACTGTTGTGATAACTAAATTCCATCCTGCCCTCTGTACAGTTTCCACCCTGGCCATATTTCTCTAACAAATCAACAATGACCTTGAGGGCTTTTTCAGCTGTGTCAGCTCTTTCAAGGCCAAGTCTAAAATAAAAATATTAAAATAAACTTTTTTTATTTTTCTGAAATATTTTCATGCTCATATGACTTTGTGTTTACATTCAAAGCAAAAATTCTTTCAAGTTAACAAATAATATGAAATCTAATTTTTAAACTTTTTGACTTGGTAATTTATTAGCAAGTTACTTTATATCTGAAATTCATATATCTCATTTGTAAAATTATGATAGTAATACATATTCCATAAGGTTATTGTGTAAATTACACAATTATATTAGGTACTTCCAATGAATCAAGATTTCCCCCTCCTTCCCTTCTCCCAATTAATTATCTTTGATAGCCATGAAATTGCATGCTGAAACTCTAAAACATTTTTATCTTTGATACTATAAAGTATCAAAGTCCAAAAAAAGAAAAATTGAAAAATAAAATAGGTAAGAATTATACCAAGATTTAACAATTAGACAAGTTCTATAATGAAAAAATATAACACACAAATAACCTGACAAGGTCCATGCCCAGTAGTGCTTCTTCATCACAAACTTCTTCTCTTCCCCATACAGCTTCATTCCCAATGCAAACTCCATGCTCATTGGCTCCCATTTCTGCCCCCCACAACCAAGCAGGGCGACTAAGGACAACAGCATATGTTTCCGGAACTTGATCAATTTCTATATAAGTACACTGTTAAAAAAAAAAGTCATAGCCATAACCACAAAACCAAAAAAAGTTATCAAAATCTAGAATTTAAAAAATCATTCAAAAGATACACCATTATCAAAGAGGTCAATGAAATATAACTAAATTGAAATTTTTAGTAATAAAGGCATTACTCTTAAAATATTCAGAATTAATGCTAAATCATTTATTCATCCAAATAATGGCTGAGTATCTCCTACTGTAAAGTACTCTGCTAAAAGAGATCTTAGTTATAAAGACTTAATCAATACAAAGCTTACTTATAACAAACTAAGACTTCTACATTAAGACACAACAAAATATAAAGTACAAGGGTCATGAAGAGAAGTGAACATGAGGCACTACAGAAGCTCAGGAAAGAATTCTAGTTGTAAAGTCTTGAACATTTTTTGCAAAGGAAGATGTATAGGAATTGATGATTAAGAAAGGAATTCTCCAGCTGCAGTTGTGGCTCAGCAGTAGATCACTCGCCTAGCACATGCGAGGCCCTGTGTGCGAGGGCCTGGGTTTGATCCTCAGCACCACATAAAAATAAAATAAAGATATTGTGTCCATCTACAACTAAAAAATAAAATATGAAAAAGAAATGAATTCTCAACCTCAATGTCCAGTGTTTCCTAATTAGGCACACATATGGTAACCCCTAAATACAGGAGTATTCTCATAGAAGTCTATATCACTTGTGGAATAAGCCCATCAAGTATGTCTGCAGCAGTGGAAAGAATGAGAACCACTGGTTTACAAGATAGCCAGATTTAAATATAAAGTGGAACCGGTATCCCAGATGAATAAACAGTTTCAGAAAAAGAAAAAATATATAGCCTAATATATAGAAAATGTCTAATATATCTGAGTGTTAGAATGTCACAGAATTAAAATACAAAAAGTACATAACTTAGCAATAAAATATAAAGTGAAACTTTCACTAAAGTTCCATAGTAAATTATTTCTTAAATAAAAATTTTAAAGGATCCTTCAATTCATTTGTATACTATCAAGTGACTGAATAAAATGCATGTTGTTAGTGCTATTGCAGGGCTTAATAAACCTTTTAATGAGTCATAAACCTTTATCCAGAATCTGGATTAACTTTTCTTATTCTACACCAATCAAAATCATTTTTGTCTAACAAACTTCCTAGTGAAGCTTTCCTTGATCCCTAGTCTGAATTACATGTTTCTCCTATGCTGCAATATGTTGCTTCTACTTAAATTTATCATTTAATTTATAGTGGAATTAGTTGCATATACCTCCTATTCCAACGGTAGACTCTAAGTTCCCATTGGACAACATCTGAATCTTACAGCTGACTTTAAACTCCTTGCTCTAACATGCTTGCATGTGAAAAGTATTCTAATATTTCATCAAAGAATAATTTTCATTAGTTATTTCAATTGCTTCCAAATCATTGAAATAAAAATCAGAAGCCTATTTCTAATTCAATTATTTTTCATATTTAAATTCTTGAATTTTAACTTCTATTATCTCTTCCAAATTGCTAGTTAATGATAGTAATAACTGTTTTATGATATTTTAAAAGTAGCATATTGCTAACAAAACATGTATTTCAGATTTCCTGTTTTCTGAGATACTTTGGTTTGCAATTTGAAGCAATGAAGATCTCTGACATGCTAGAGGGCTCTGCCTGTTTTTTTGTGTCAATTCATGGCCTTGGTGATTTGTCTGTAAACTATTCTAAATTCTGGCTCCTGGTCAGAATTAGACAAATGCCTTTTGTGAATAACATGCCACCCCAGAACTCATCTAGGAACTGGTTGTCTTGTAAGCAGAGTGATGCCTGATTTCTTAAAATTCATTTATACTCACCTTCTGTGTCATCAAGAAACATGAACACCCATGGGATATTCTCATTGAAAGTTGTCACATATAAACCAGTGTTTTTAAATATTAGAGGTTACACTTAACATTATGCTCTGATCAAAGGAAGTTTTCATTCACTGTTGTGTAAAAAGAGTTACGGAATAATAGTGCTACATCTGGAGAAACAATCCAAGGGCCAGTGGGAAACAAAAATTCAACATCGTCTCAATTAGAAAGTTGGGGACCCTTCTAAGAGTGTCAGATAGAAGCAGTTTTTCCCTTGGTGGACTGTCTAATTTTTTTTAAGAGAGAGAGAGAGAGAGAGAGAGAGAGAGAGAGAGAGAATTTTTTAATATTTATTTTTTAGTTTTCGGCAGACACAACATCTTTGTATGTGGTGCTGAGGATCCAACCCGGGCCACATGCATGCTAGGCAAGCATGCTACCACTTGAGCCACATCCCCAGCCCAGGACTGTCTAATTTTTATTGCTTGGTATGAAGTGGAGAAATTAAGCTATAGAGTCTGGTGTTTAAGACAACCTTGGTACTCTGGCGATGTGAGGACTGCACTGCCTCTTGGAAGATGGACTAATATCTATGGGTGTTACCTTATACTTTTTTAATGACATTCTTTTAAAAATTAGTTTCTGGGCTGGGGTTGTGGCTCAGTGGCTGAGCACTTACCTAGAATGTGTGAGGCACTGGGTTCAATTCTCAGCACCAGATTGAAAAAATACATAAATAAAGGTATTGTGTCTATCTACAACTAAAAAATATTTTTTTAAAAACAAATATTTTTAAAAAATGAGTTTCCTCTGTTGTACATATTTATGCATTCTTTGTGAGGTGAAGGTGCTTCCCAGATTTAGACTTGGAATGAAGGCAATTTTTAAAAATAAAGTTTTGAATATCTAGAAAATAAAAACATATATTTCACCTACCTTAAGAGGTTCTCTGTTATCATGAACTGCAGCAGGAAAATAAACTACCTCTTGTACTTCATCACAGAGTCTGTCTGAATTTTTTCCAAAAATAATCCTCTTATCAATTGTTGCTGGGGGTAATGCCACAAATGTATCACAGGAATAGGGCTCCATTTTCTAAACAACTACAAATCACATAGAAGTTTTTAAATAACAAAAGAAAACATTTTTAAGTATATACAAAACAAATACTCCTACTCTCTGGCCAAGGGATATTATTACCATGTCTAATAAAGGGTGTTCATTAAAGCTTTAAATATCATAAACTATAATACAATAATCAACATGACTTAAGAATCAACCATGAACTACAAGAATCAACAAGAAAATAGCAATGTGAACTACTTTCTTCTAGTTGATGGGTCAAATTTATTCTCTAAAACCTTTCTCTCCTAAAGTCTCCCCTGAATTTCTTTTCACTATTCCTATATTCTGGAATCTCTACACCTAGCCTACTTTTATAAAGGCTATATTCTATATATTTGTGCACCAGTCCTCTTATTGGCAATAAAATCCTTAAGAGGTAAGATTATGCCTTAATTATCTTTGCATTGTTATCATTGAAACTTATGGGGGGGAAAAACATGTTTTCAGTATTTTCTCGAAATAAGAAAAGGTTTCCTTTGACCTAAGAAAGAATATGCAGAGATTATAATATTAAAAAGACAGAAATTTTGAAACAGATTCACTACTTCAAATATAAAAAATGTCAATGAAATTCCAATTGTCAATATTTCATGGTGGAAGTTCACAAATATAATTTGTAAATCCTGATTGTAGAATTTCATATGTAGATTGTCTTCACTAGAAATTTGAAAAATTTAAATCATCAATTTTAGTAATATACTTAAGTATTCTATACTTTATTTTGCTTTAAGAATACACACATTGTTTTAGCTTTTTATTTTATAATGCCCAAACTCCTGAAGTTTTTCTCTTCTCAATGATGAGAAAGAGGTCACTATCCTTATTGTTCTTTCCTTTGAGTATTTCAACTTTTATGTCTTGCATCTCCTTCTATTTGTGTTCCAAAGTTGGTTCCACCACTACATAACTTTGGCAAGCTATTTAATTGTTCTATGCATGCAGGCTCAATAGTAGAATAAAAGATTAAACAGAGCTATTACGGGGATTTCAATTAGACAAGTTAAGCGTTTTGCTTAACATGAAACATAGTAGATCCTCAAATGAAAGCTGTTATTATCTGGCAGAAGAGTAAATTACACAAATAGTCTAGTCTAAACTCCGGTAGAGGACTTGGTTGATGTGTGCTCTATAATAATAGCAGCCACATCTACTCAAAACCCTGGAGTCCTGACGTCCATCAAGCTGCACTAGGAGATCTCAACTATCCAAGAGGGGTCGTGAGGGAAGCTAGGTACAATTGCTGCCTAGTTAGAATGGTACTTGGCCCATTGAGGACATGAAACTTGGACTCTCACACCATTTATCACTCAACAAATGTTTGCTGAACATCTTTCTGCACTAGGAAACGTACAGCTGGAAATAACTAGAAACAAAAGGAGCTCCCGCTCTTGTAGAGCTGACATTCTATTTTATAGCTTTCAAAATGCATCACATCGTTTGAACCTCACAATTGTACTCCAGTTAAAGCGAGAATTACTCTCTCCACAAGACAGGTGAACAACCCGGTGCAGAAAAGTTTTTGCAACTCGTGTCAGCGTTCAACGAAAGCAATGGGCTCGAACATCTGACAGCTGATAGAAAGAGCCGCCACCGCGGACCCCGTACACTGCGTGAGACGATCAAATCGCTGTGGCCGCGAGTCCCGCGGTCAGGCAGCGCCGCGCCACAGCTAGTCCAGGGCTCTGGCCTCCGCTGCGCACGTTCCTCCCTCTAGCAAGCCCCTCACCTGGCCTCTGCGCTTCCAGAAGTGACAGCTGAAAGTAGCGGGAGGAGGCGCCAGTTGACGGAAGCTGTCACCTTTGACCTAGGAAGTTCCCGCGGCTGCTGGAGGCGCAGTTCCGGTTAGGCGGCAGAGTTTGTTTACGTTGCTCGCTGACCGGTTGGTTGCCTTCCTCAGCTCGAATGCCAAGATGGGGAAATCCTTCGCCAACTTCATGTGCAAAAAGGACTTTCATCCTGCCTCCAAATCCAATATCAAAAAGGTGAGTAGAGGAAACCCAAAGGGATCTGGCTTACGGCCACTGGGTCCCCAGGGGCTGCTGAGGTGAGAGTGGTGATGTCGCTGGGATGCCAGGATATCACCTCCTCTCCAGGCCAGAAGCCCAGGTGCTCTCGCCCCCTTTTCCTCACTGATGAAGCAGGCGCTCTACGTTTGTTCTACATCCGAGTTGGGAGGCTCTCGTTGGCTCTGTCGGTCAAAGTGTAAATCCATAAAACGTGGAGCCTGCGCTCACAGTTGCTCAATACTTGCCTTAACTGGTTCGGGTTTGGTCTTTTCGAATCCGAGGTTCACGGCTCCTTAGTTTTCTCCTCTACAAAGACGACTGTTTATTTAAAATAGATCGTATAAAAGAAATCACCCTCATTGAATATTAGCGTTTTAAATAATTAATTACAGTCGGGGCGGTGACGCACTCCGGAGGATCTCAAGTTGGAGGCCAGCCTTTGCAATTTAGCGAGATCCTCAGCAACTTCGCGAGACCCTGTCTAAAAATTAAAAAAAAAAAAAAAAAAAGAAGAAGAAGAAGGGGTTGAGGATGTAGCTTAGTGATAGAGTACTTCTGGACTCAATCACTGGCACCAAAAATAAATAAGGCAAAATTAATTTATTAGAGGCTGGAGTTGTGGCTCAGTGGTAGAGCACTTGCTTAGCAGGTGTGAGGCACTGGGTTCAATTCTCAACACCGCATATAAATAAATGAATAAAATCAAGGTCCATCAACATCTTAAAAAAATACTTTTTAAAAAATAATTAATTAGGGCTGGGGATGTGGCTCAAGCGGTAGTGCGCTCGCCTGGCATGCGTGCGGCCCGGGTTCGATCCTCAGCACCACATACAAACAAAGATGTGTCCGCCGAAAACTAAAAAATAAATATTAAAATTCTCTCTCTCTCAAAAAATTAATTAATTAATTAATTACAGTTCGGCTAAGCTCAGGGCAGAAAAACCATAGCGAAAATGATTGTGGTGAAAAGCAAAAGGATGAAGTAAAAAGTCAGAGCTTTGGAGGCAGACGAAGATTCTAACCATTCATTCCAGCATAGTCGGTATTAGACCTTGCATAAAATATTTATATATTTATTTGTTTATTGGTACTGGGGATTGAACCAATGGGCTACATCCCAACCATTTTTTATTTTGAGACAAGTTCTGCTAAGTTGCTAAGGGTCTCTCTCTACAAGTTGCTGACACTAACCTTAAACTTAGCAATCCTCCTGCAGTCCCTGAATTACAGGCATTGCCACACAAAATAGTTAATATTCCTGATCCAAAATTTCTTAATCTACAAATAAAGGATGATCAGTATCACTTGCTTTGACTTGTAAAGTTGTGAAGAGTAAATGGGATGGTGTATCTCATCCAGCCCCTAGGACTGTCCTCCATAAATATTAACACCTCATACCATTGAACTGCCATCCTTTTCTTTATACCCTGCATTCTGCCTTGAATGTGTATCTACTTTCCTAAATCTCTATCTGTGCCTTTGGGGGAAAAAATGAGATAGTGTGGGTAGAGGATTTGAAACAAAGTGAGTGCTTACTACTGTGTGCATCACATACAGGGGGTACTAAAATTGTTAATTGACTATACACACAAAGTTGTGAAATGAAGTAGGCTTTTAATTTTATATATAGCATGTTTTATGTTTTTGAGTTTTATATAGCCATGTGAATATGTACATATATATGTAAAGTATGTTACCACCATGTAAATAGAATTATGTTTTATATACTAATGCATATATGTGCATTAGAAAATCTTTGGCAGAACAGGGCATAATAGTGCACACCTGTAATATCAGTGGCTTGGGAGACTGAGGCATGAGGATCACAAGTTCAAAACCAGCATCTGCAACTTAGTGAGGCCCTACACAACATAGTGAGACCCTGTCTCTAAATAAAATTTTAAAAGGGCTGAGGGTGTGTGGCTTGGTAAATAAGACCCTTGGGTTCAATCCCTGGTGCCAAAAAAAAAAAAAAAATCTTTAGTAAGGGTTGGGGTTGTAGCTCAATGGTAGAGCACTTGCCCAGCACATGTGAGGCACTGGGTTCAATCCTCAATAGCACATAAAAATAAATAAGTCAAATAAATATATTGTGTCCATCTACAACTCTAAAAAAATTTAAAAAGAATCTTTGGCAGGATGTGCAATAAATGGATAACACTAGCTACCTGTGAATACAATTACTTGATAAAAAATAACTTTTAATAACCAAAACTAAAAAATAAATAACCAAAACTTATAAAGCATTCTATGCTTGTAAAGCATTCTAATCTATGTCTCATTCTCTTTACTATATTTTTATGGTGTTGTGAATTTCACACAGACACCTTTACCCTAAGGTGTTCATGCTACTGAGCACTTCTGTCTTATTTCTTTGGTTTTTTGTTTTGTTTTGTTTTGTGCTGAGGATTGAACCTAGGGCCTCCATCATGTTGGGCAAGCACTCTAAATCCCTAGCCCCTGTCTTATATCTTTGTTTCTTTTCTTGTCTCTTTCTTTTTTTCCTACAATTTCATTTCCTTTCCCTTTTTTCTCTTTCTCCAGTTCTCCTCTCTTAGGGTATTGGTGACACCCAGTAGCATTGGTGGCCATTGCATAACACTACTTCTAATGTCCTGTACTAATGGGTTATCTATGTTAGACATATTCTATGTAAAGAAATGTTTTTTTTGCTCTCTGAGATAATGTAGGGACCGGTACAAAGTGCTGTTGTACCACACATACTGAAAGCAGTTCTCATGTTTGTGTGAAAGTATAGCTATGTTGAATGGTTGAATTTTAGGATTTATATCAAGATACAAATCATATTTTCAGATATTATTTTGTGATGATGTCATTATTACTAAATTGGACTGTCATAAACAATGCCATTTTATATTTAATTATGAAAAAAACAAACTTGCTACTTAAATCCAACTATTTAATTTACTTTTTTACTTTACTCATTTAGGTATGGATGGCAGAACAGAAAATATCATATGATAAGAAGAAACAAGAAGAATTAATGCAACAGTACCTTAAAGAACAAGAGTCATATGATAATAGGTGAGATATGCCCCTCTGCCATTGTTTTTAGAATAATCAATTACAGGAGACTAATCCCTTTACTCTCATAGATGGTCACTTTTTTTGACTTTACCCATAATTCACATAAAATGTATTTTCATACGACTCATATAGTTTCTGAGCAAAGCTGGGTGTGGTAGCTGCTTCAGAGGTGTGGCAGGAGATTTGCTTGAGCCCAGGAGTTTGAGACCAGCCTTGGAAAATAGTGAGACCACTGTCACAAAAATAGATTTAATAAACAAAGCACAGTGGGGCACGTCTGTATTCCTAGCAGCTCAGGAGGCTGAAGCAGGAGGATTGGAGTTGAAAGCCAGCCTCAGCACCTTAACAAGGCTCCAAGCAACTCATTGAGACCCTGGCTATAAATAAAATATAAAAAAGGGATAGAGTTGTGGCTCAGTAGTTGAGTGCCCCTGGGTTTAATCCCCTGTACAAAAATATAAATAAATAAATAATAAAAATAAGTAAACCAATCAATAAAAATCAAGTAAACTGTAGAACACTCCTCTGTTTATGGGCATTGGGGTTGCTTATACTTTTGAGCTATTGTGAATAATGCTGTAAATCTTGACATAGAGGTAACTGTTCAAGTTCCTGTTTTCAATTTCTTTAAATATATTTTTAGGTGGGGCTGGGATTGTGGCTCAGCGATAGAGTGCTCGCCTAGCACCGGTGGGACCTGGGTTTGATCCTCAGCACCACATAAAAATAAAGGCATTGTGTTATGTCCATCTACATCTAAAAAATAAATATTAAAAAAAATAAAATTAAAAAATAATAAATATATTTTTAGGAATGGAGTCACTGGATCATATAATTCACCAAATTCTTTTCTATAGTGACTGTGCTATCTTTTTTTTTTATTAGAACTTTATAGTTATATATAGTAGTTGGGGGGCTCATCCCAACAAACTCATACATGCATGAAATTTTAATTCAGGTCATGATCCCCACTTTTTCCTCCCATTTCCTTCCCCTCTCCTTCCCCTCTCCCATTCTCCTTCCTCTACTATAATTCCATTTGCTTATTTATTTATATTTGATCAGTTCTTTTTACTTATGCATAATAGTGAAGTTCCCTGTTGATTTTTGTTTGTATGTTTGGTATCAGGAATTGACTCAGGGGCACTCAACCACTGAACCACATCCCCAGTCCTATTTTGTATTTTATTTAGAGACAGGGTCTCACTGAGTTGCTGAGCGCCTCACTTTTGCTGAGGCTGGCTTTGAACTCATGATCCTCCTGCCCCAGCCTCCCAAGCCACTGGGATTTCAGGCATGTACCACTGTTTTTGTTTTTTAATTTATTTTTTAGTTATAGGTGGACACAATATCTGTATTTTATATTTATGTGGTGCTGAGGATAGAACCCAGAGCCTCACCATGCTAGGCGAGCGCTCTACCTCTGAGCCACAACCCCAGCCCCTCCCGGCCACAATTTCTTAATCCATCATTTATTGGTGGGCACCTGGGTTGATTTCATAATTTAGTTATTGTGAATTGCTCTCCTATAAACATGGAGGTGACTTTATTGCTGTAGTATGCCAATTTTAGATCTTTTAGGAAAATACCAAGGAATGAGATAGGTGAGTTATCCCTAGTTTTGTAAGAAATCTCCATACTGCTTTCCTGAGTAGTTGTACTAGTCTACAGTTCCACAAAAATGTACAAGTGTACTTTTTCCTTGCCAGCATTTACTGTTTGTGTTCTTGATCGATGCCGTTCTGACTAGAATAAGATGAAATCTTGGTGTAGTTTTGATTTGCATTTCCCTGATTGATAGAGATGTTAAACATTTTTTCATAGATTTTTTTGACCATTTGTGTTTCTTTTTTCAGAAGTTTCTGGTTAGTTCTTTGGCCCATTTATTGATTGAGTTAGTTGGTTTGAGTTTTTGTTTTGTTTTTTTGGGGGGGTATTAAGTTGAATTCTTTATATATTCTGTATGTTAACCCCCTATTGAAGACGTCACTGGTCAAGATTTTCTCCCATTCTGTAGCTCTCTCTCCATACTTTTAATAATTTCCTTTGCTGAACTGCTCTATTTAACTTTTTTTTGTTTTGTTTTTTTTGTTTTTTTGTGTTCAGCAGTAACCATCCTAGTAAGTATGAAGTGGTATCTCATTGCAGTTTTGGATTTACATTTCCATAATATTTAGTGATGCTGAGCTTTTTAATTTTCATTTTTTGAAAATATTTTTTAGTTGTAGTTGGATGCAGTATCTTTATTTTATTTATTTTTATGTGTTGCCGAGGATCAAACCCAGGGCTTCGCACGTGCTAGGCAATTGCTCTACTGCTAAGCCACAACCCAACCCTTAATTTTCATTTTTTAATGGTGTTAATATAAGACAAAATTTACATACTTGTGTAAAGATATGTTGACTTCTAAGTATATTAAGAGTTTTGGCGTCATCACCATAATCTAATTTCAGAACGTTTCATCTCTGAAAAAGAAATCTTATACCTATTAGCAATTACTTCCAATTTCCCAACCTTGTCCTTCTACCTCTCAGCCCTAAGTAATTGCCAGTCTACTCTATAAATTTGCCAATTCTGGACATGTCCTGTACATGTGGCATCTTGTAACTGATTTCTTTTTCTTAGCATGTTTTATGGTATGGCATGTATCAGCACTTAATTCCTTTCTGTTGCTGAATAATAATCCATTGTATGGATGTCTGTACCTACGTTCTTTTGCTTCTCTTTTTTTTTTCCTTAACAGTTGTTTATAGAATCCAATGGAAGTAAGAGAAGAATCTCAATCATGTAGCATATCCATTTTGATTGTCTTTTCCAAGTATGAGAGGAAATTCTATTTCCTTGTTGGCTTTCTTCTTTATAATTAGCACTTTACCTGTATTTTTTGAATTAAACTTTAACTCAGGCATACAATTTGTGGCTGAGGACTTTTTATAAAAAGCCAAACATTTCTTTTTGTAAATGGAACCTGAACAGGAAACTTTCAGTGTTAAAATGGAACAATAAAAATAAGATTTTTGAGGTACAGCAGGCACTGATTCTATCATATTAAGTTGCTTATTGGAGAGTTTTTTAAAAATGAGTCTTTTTTCATTGGCCTCACTAAAGAATTTGATTCTCTCATTTAGATTCTTACAAGCATTAATTGGCTTTGACTTTCTCAAGAAAACCCAGACTCATTTTCAAAACTGATTCCTCACAATTAAGAAAAACTGTTGGCAACCTTGTCCTTGTCCAACTGTTTAACTTAATTCCAACTCTGTGATGACCTTCAGGATTTCAACAGCATTTCAGAATTTAAGAAAAGTCCTTTAGAGTGACCATAGAGTTTTTCCTCTTTTTTGTTGAGAGGACCAGAATATTTCAAGTAAGAAGACGGTTTCAGAACTTACAGCCTATTATTAAAGAAATAGTATTGTTTGATTTCCGTTCACATATTCTAAATGTCCTCTAATCAGTGGGGTAAAATTTTAGAATTTGAATGCTAACAAAAAAATATTTATTTTTATTCTCTTGGGGTTCCTTTTGGGGTGGAAGGATAAAACTGTTAAGTTTATTTCTTATGTCATTTAGATTGCTTATGGGAGATGAACGTGTAAAGAATGGCCTTAATTTCATGTATGAAGCCCCACCAGGAGCCAAAAAAGGTACTTGCTCTGTTTCCTTAAAATATTTTATATGTTTACAACTACAGATTGAGAACTGCTGGGTGTGATAGCACAAACCTGTAGTGGAAGCTACCAGGGAGTCTCAAAACAGGAAGAGGCAAGTTCAGGACCAACCTGCACAACATAGTGACCTCCATCTCAAAGAAATTAATTAATCAAAATTTTTAAAAAAAGATTGAAAACTGCTAATAGACTTTTTTTTAAGAGAAGAGAGAAAGAGAATTTTTTTTTTTTTTTTTTTTTTTTTTTTTTAGTATTTATTTTTCAGCTTTCGGTGAACACAACATCTTTATTTTATGTGGTGCTGAGGATAGAACCCAGCTCCCTGCACATGCCAGGCAAGCGTGTTACCGCTTGAGCCACATCCCCAGCCAGCTAACAGACTTTTTAAAAGTATTCTTTGTTGGCTGGGGATGTGGCTCAAGCGGTAGCGCGCTCGCCTGGCATGCGTGCGGCCCGGGTTCGATCCTCAGCACCACATACAAACAAAGATGTTGTGTGCGCCGAGAACTAAAATAAAAATAAACATTAAAAATTCTTTCTCTCTCTCTCCTCTCTTAAAAAAAAAAAAGTATTCTTTGTTTTTAAAGATTGTTATCATGTCAGGTGCAATGGTGCAAACCTATAATCCTTATCTGGGAGGCTGAGACAGGAAGATCACAACTTTATTAACACCCTCACTTAAATAAAAAGGACTGGGTTTGTAGTTCAGTGTTAGAGCACCCCTGGCTTCAATCCCCAGTACTACAAAATAATAAATAAAAAATAAATAAAATTGGTTTTCTGAGGAGATAATAAAGAATAATATTATAACCAATAAAGTAGAATAAATATTAAAAATATTGTTCTATTCTAGTAATTTTTCACGAGGTGTCCTTTTGGGAGGGAAAAAATCTCAACACCAGCAGAAATGCATTTATTCTTTTATAATGTGGTTATATCTTTAGTCTTTCCTTCTAAATATACTTGTGTATATAAAATACAATATTCACTGTCTGTAAAAAGCATAAAAGTTTCAAAATTAGCAATTAACAATTAGCAGTTAACATGTTTGTTAAATACAGTATTGTTAAATTCAGTATTGTATTTTATCCTTTCGTCCTTGATTTTTATCTCATGCAAGAAGAAAGAAGTCAAACCAGTACAATCTTACAAATTATAATCAAATAACATATCATAGTGGTGATATACATTTGTTTTTTACACTGATAATTTTAACTTGTCCTACTTTTTCCCCTCCTGTATTTTTGATATGCAATCAAGAAAACAAAGAGGTAAAGCACTATTTACTATTTGAATTTACTTATAATTAATTTTGATTTTATGGAGAAAATTGAAAGACTTTTTAATGAATGTTTTAGAAAGAAGAAACAGAAGGAGAGACAGAATACAAATTTGAATGGCAGAAAGGAGCTCCACGAGAAAAGTACGGTCTGGTTTGCTTTTAAGATATAATATATATCACTATATCTGCAATCCCATCTTATGTTATCACCTTTATATGCATTAGAGAAAGTAACTAATATGAAAACATTTTTATTGAACTTTCTTATGCAACCAATCTACTTTTATCATAGTCTTGTTTTATATACTTGTTCTTTTTATTTATAAATTACAAACTATAAGCCTAGGTATTTGATAACTATTTTGAAATATTAAATAGACTATAGTTCTGTATACTTATTGAAGTAATAACACAGTTCATATTGTTCTGAGAACTATAACTTTTTCAAGTTAACTACCATTGAATTTATTAAATTATTCTTAATATTTTATTTATACATTTTCTCTACTTAATAGATATGCCAAAGATGACATGAACATCAGAGATCAGCCCTTTGGCATTCAGGCAAGTGACATGTATTTTACCCTTTACGAATAATTTTTATTTAGTAAATATCTACATTATTATCAAAAAGGTGTTCACACTGAAAAAGAACAATATGGTTTGTATTTGTATCAGATAATGGTAGGAATAAGGAGAAAACATTAAATGTGGTAGACTGACCAAAAATGGGAATCAAAATTACTAATAAGAGTTATGGGGATGCTGGGATTGTAGCTCAACGGTAGAGCACTCGTCTAGCATGCGTGGGGCCCTGTGTTCGATCCTCAGCACCACATAAAAATAAATGAATGGAATAAAGGGATTGTATCCAACTACAACTTAAAAAAATAAATATTTTTTTAAAAAAAGTTATAGGGCTGCAGTTGTGGCTCAGCTGTAGAGCCCTCGACTAGCATGTGTGAGGCCTGGGTTTGATCCTCAGCACCACATAAAAATAAATAAATAAGATATTGTGTCCAACTACAACTAAAAAATAAATACTTAAAAAAAAAGAGTTATAATGATGTTGGTGTCTGCTCTTTTCCAAGAATTTGGAGAATTAGGTCATGACCAAGAAAAGATTTAAAACAGTCATTTGTTTAGAATCAGGGCAGCCTGTCACTAGAGGGAATCCTTATAAAGAAAATGTTGTTGGAACCTTTCCTTGCTTGTTCATTTATGTATTATCTGTCACTTCAACAGCAGAGCTGAGTCGTTACAGTTGGCACAGAGGTTGGGCCTGAAAAGCCTAAAATAAGTTCTATTTGAACCTTTACAGGAAAATTTTGCCAGCTCCTGGTTTAGAAATGTGAAACTTTTAATTTTGACTTATTAAAACTAAGAAATTTTAAGATGATATTGTTATATTGCCACCAACTAAGAAGTAAAAAGCAATAGGATTCAGCTTAGGTGTTGGGCAGAATTTATAATAAGATTTTAGTTTTTGTATTAAATTTACCAAACTTAGTTTTGTAGTGTCTTTTCCTACAGATCTTTTTAAAATGTAATTTAACTTGAATCCTACCAAACATTGGTTAGATTCTTAGTATTTTAGTAACCAAAAGAATATTCACTTTTCTCAGGTTCGAAATGTAAGATGTATTAAATGTCACAAATGGGGTCATGTCAACACAGATCGAGAGTGTCCTTTGTTTGGTCTTTCTGGAATCAATGCAAGTTCGGTTCCCACTGATGGCTCAGGTAGGCATTAGACATGATTTTTTTTAGAATTTAGGTAAAGAAGGAAAGAAAAATAACATTTTTTTCTTTAATCTGAGTATTTTTTGTTTTACTTGAGTTTTATTGTTTTAGACTAAGGCACATTACCAAAATATGATTATCATTGAGAAATTCTGTGTTGAATCTGAAATGCTTTGTAATAGAATTAAAATGTAATTTTTCCAGCCAAAGGCCCTATGAACTTGATTTTTTAAGGTAAGATAACAATAAATACTTTATCAGGTTAGTGGCCTAAAATTAGAAAATAAATGGTTGATTCTCATATTTAGGTTCTCCTGATTTTTAAAAAAGGCTGGAGTGAAAGCGTCAGCAATCATTTCTCTTTGGTTCATGGAATTAAAAACAAAACTGAAGGGAGAGAAAAGGGAAATTGCATGGAAATGAAGGGAGACCCTCATTGCTATACAAAATTACATATAAGAGGTTGTGAGGGGAATAGGAAAATAAATAAGGAGAGAAATGAATTACAGTAGATGGGGTAGAGAGAGAAGATGTGAGGGAAGGGGAGGGGGGATAGTAGGGGATAGGAAAAGTAGTAGAATACAACAATTACTAATAGGGCATTATGTAAAATTGTGGATGTGTAACCTACGTGATTCTGCCATCTGCATTTGGGGTAAAAATTGGGAGTTCATAACCCACTTCAATCTAATGTATGAAATATGATATGTCAAGAGCTTTGTAATGTTGTGAACAACCAATAAAAAAAATTTAAAAAAACAAAACTGAGTAAAGAAAGATGATAAATATATTTAAATTGGGTTTATATTGGAAAATTATTTATCTTACTACATATTACTTTCTAAAAAAAATTTGTCCACTTGGGTTTGCATCATTTTGGCTCTTCATAAAAAGGATACTAAAACTGTGAAGTTTTAGCTTAAGTTCATCATTATCTTACTACTATTTCATTGAGATAGCCATACTAATTTAATCCTGTCTCAGAATAAGTCATAATAGAAATACCCTACTTAACTCTATAAACTTCAGTGAGTAATTTCACTTTTATGGGCTTCAACTCCTGATTTTTTTTTTTTTTTCGGTACAAGGGATTGAACCCAAGGGCACTTTATTACTGAACTACATCCCCAGCCCTTTATAAAATCTTTTACCTGGAGGGAGGGTTCCACTAAGTCGCTGAGAGTCTGACTGAATTGCTGAGGCTGACATCAAACTTGAGATCTTCCTACCTGAGCTTCCCTAGTCACTGGGATTACAGGCATGAGCCATCACACCCAGCTCAACTCCTGATTTTACAATAAGGATGATAGTATGACTCAGATTTTCAGCACTTTATAAAGCAGCTATAGAACTCTTTTTTTTTTTTTAAAGAAATCTTACATAAAACCCTAAAACATAAAAGCACTGCTATTTATTGAAACAAGTCCTCTGGGCATTAAGTCCCCTTCTTTCAGTCACAAGGCCTCCAGTCATCTCTTTAGAATCTCTATGGCTTTTGCTGTTCACCTCAATCTTGAGCCTAGGGTTCACCCTCATTCAGCTTTCAACCTTTTGCATCTGTTCTTACAGCTAGAAGATCCTGCTTTCTTCTAGAAAACCACGTTCAAAAAAGTTCATCTTAATATTAGGAGTTTAGGAATTTGATCCATCGTTATTTTGGGCATTTCCCTAGTGGTGTTATAGATGTTAGAATTGGTGAGAAGGAAGCATACCTATAAAATACTGTGATTGATTTTTGAAAAATCTTTATTCCTGTAAAATAAGTTCAGAAACCACCTTTTAAGGAGAAGGAGAACTATTTGTTCAGTTGTAAGACAATGTTAATACAGTCTTTGTTCTGGCAAAATACCTTATAAAAGAACTTACCACTGATACCACAATACAGATACTCTTAATAACCCACATAGCTAATTCTCCCTCCTTCCCTGCCCTCTTCCAATTAGTAGAAGGGATAAAGGCCCCAAAGGAAATAAAACCCCAAAGAAAATGGAATGGAGTACGTCATACATCACGAACCCATTTGGCTCAAATATTTTTGACACTTCCCTTTATTAGTCCAGAGATTCATTGTTACATCTTAAAAGTATATTCTGTTTTCTAGATAGGGTTGCTTCTTTCTCATCTTTTCCTTCATGCCAGTCTTATAGTTTCCTTACACCTACATGATTCATGGGTTGTTTTGAGACAAGCAGAAGTAGTAGCTATCTTTCTTCCCTAGCCTCATCGTACTCTGATCCTGCTTCTGAGAGAATGAGTAGGATAGACTCCAGGCTTAGCCCTTTCTTTTAATAATCAGTAGGCTTGCCTTGTCTTGAGTCTGTATTAGAAAGTATGCTAACAACAACCCAAAGAACTTGTGTATTAACCTATTTTTAAAAGTATTGAAAACAAGAGCTAGGTTTGTGGTTTAGTGGCAGAGCACTGGCCTCGCACATGTGAGGCACTGGGTTCGATCCCCAGTGTCACATAAAAATAAATAAACAAAAGTATTGTGTCCAACTACAACTAAAATATTTTTTAAAAATAAAGATATTATGTCCATGTTTAACTAAAAATATTTTTTAAAAAAATAAGTATTGAAAACAATAAAACCCCACAGTCACATGCCACACAGTTAGTAAATTCCTGTGTAATGCAGCTGGTTATTGACTTTTCTTTAGCCCTCCATTTGTATCCATTAACTTTATGGTAATTCAGTGTATGCAATTCAGGTTTTTGTATGCCATTCATTGGGGTACTATTGTAGAACTATTCTTCAGTTAAATGAACTTTGTCCAAATAACATGAATGAAGTAGAAAAATACATAACTTGTTGAATCCTATTGTTTTACCTATATTTAACCATATTTAAGAAGTCTACATATATTGACATATGTTACATATAATATATTGTCTGTTTTGCCTGTGGAATTTGGTAAAGACTTGAAAGAACTGTATACAGGGTGTTGGAGCAAGTATGGTAAGATGAATATTTCAATCCTTTGTTAATAAATTGAACAGCCATTTTGAAGGACCATAATATATATCAGAAGTATTCAAAACATCATTTGGGGCATGCCTGTAATCCTAGCTACTCAGGAGGCTGAATCAGGAGGATTGCAAACTTCAGGCCAGCCTTAACAATTTACTGAGGCCCTGTCTCAGCAAAACACAAACAAAAATCCACCATATCCTTTTACCGTCCAGTAGTTAAAAGAAAGCAATAAGGTACACCCTCAAAGATTCACAGTAGTGAAAGATTAGAAACAACATGTAGACTTCTCAAGTATGGTTAAATATAGGTAAAACAATAGAATTCAACAATTTATGCATTTTTCTACTTTGTTCATATTATTTGGAAAAAGTTCATTTGACTGAAGAAGAATTCTACAATAATACCTCAATGAATGTCCATCAGTAGGGGGTTTATTCAGCAGTTATTAATGGAGCAATTATAAGTTCTGTGATGAAAATGTAATTGGAAACTGTGATCAAAACTAACTGGGGAGTTACTATATTAAGTGGTCAGAAAGACCCCTCTGAGGAAGTGATGTTAAGATGAGACCTGAATGACAAGACGAATACAGCAGTGTGAAACCTGCGAAAAGAGCATTTGGCGTATCAGGCAAAAGAAACAGCCTTTCATACAGAGAGACCCATCAATCCTGATAGGGTACATACTTAGTGGCACTCACCTAGTGGTGAAAAACATTGACTAAAGGGCCTGGGGTTGTGGCTCAGCGATAGAGCGCTTGCCTAGCCATGTGTGAGACCCTGGGTTTGATCCTCAGCACCACTTAAAAATAAATAAATAAAGGTATTGTGTCCAACTACAACTAAAAAATAAATATTAAAAAAAATATTGATTGAAGATGACTCCTTAGATGCTTGCTTTAGAACTTCTACTCTGCTGCTTCTTAATTGTAACTTTAGGCAAGTTATTTAACATCTCTTGCTGATATGTATAAAACATGATAGTACCTACACCTCATAAAGTTGTTATGAAAACTAGATAAGTTAATACATGATGCTTAGAATAGTGCCTGGCATGTAATAATCACTTCTTGAGTATTTTTTATTAATTGTGGAGTATCTCCCGCAAATGGAATACTCTACAACCGTATGTAATATATATACATGAGTAATATAGCTAGAGATCTATGTTGATATGTAAGGATATAGGAGGATATATCAAGTGTAAAGAAAGTTAAATGGTATCAATTAAAAGTATGTAGGATAAACAAAATGTCAGGCATTTCATAATTAAATTGGCTTTCAAGGATGAAGTTATTTTTAAAATCTGTATGATTTTAGATGCTCTACCTTTTATGATAAAAGGATGACTTACTGATATAAGAGTCTCTATTTTTAGGGTTGTCGGTGTAGCTCAGTGGTAGTGCATTTGCCTGGAGCCTCTGGATTTGATCCCTAACTCCCCACACCCCCCAGAAAAGCCCTATTTGAAAATTAATTCTTAGAACCAGTTTATTGTTTATTTTTCAAACACTTGTTTTTAGCAACTGTGTATTTGACATCCTACACATTAGCCAGTAAGTTTTTTAAACTTTATGTTCCGGTTTATTGAAGGTATAGACGGTTCCTAGTTTCCAGTTAAATCAGAAACATTAACATATCACATAAGAGACAGTTGGGCACAGTGGTGCATGCTTATAATTCTAGCAGCTCAGGAGGCTTAGGCAGGAGTATCACAAGTTCAAAGCCAGCCTCATAAACTTAGCAAGACCCTGACTCTAAATAAAAAATAAAAGGGGCTAGTGACAATCTACTCAAAATTAGAATACGATTTAAGAGTCTGTTTAATAGAGGAAAGTATTGTTAAATTAGGTAGTTAACAGAGTAAGAGGGACTAAAATGATCTCTGAAGAATTAAAATTTAGATAGGTGAAAAGAAAGTTTGACACCTCCCCCCCCCAAAAAAAAGACCTGAAGAAAAACATAAGCACAAAAGAATTTAACTTGAATAGAATAAAATTTGAATGGCTCTCAAGATGGGATGGAGG